AAAAAAACTATTATGGTATTTTAATTTTTTGTTTAAAACATATATCCGCGAATATCCGGATATCCGCAAATATCTAGAAAAAATTTTGATATCCGTCATCCCGGATATCTTAAATTTTTCGAAGCAAAACAAATCGGAAAATTAGATATCCGGATATCCAAGATGCTCTCAGGTCTATTTGATAGATTAGTTCAAAAAAGTTCTCATCATTTTGTAATTCCACAAAAAAAAAACCCTACACTAATAAATATCGATTGACTGGAAGCATCACTAGTTAATTACCTTTAACATTATAATTGGCCTTCGAGTACTTGGAAGTTTTGTATAGGGTTTTCGGATATGTTCTAGAATCCTCAGATCGAATAATTACCTTTAACATTATTGATTTCTCTTTATTGGTTTGAGAAGCATGCTGGTTCAGAAGTTTATGAACATTCATTCCTCAAGAATCAGCTAAATGGGCTCTAGTTTAAACCTTGTGGAGAGTTCACGTGTGTCTAAAAAAATTCATATGCAATTTTATTTTGAGAATTTAGACTTGATATACACAGATAATCGGATAATTGGTTAGATGTACAAACACTATTATAACAACTATTCAATTTTTATTAATCCCATTTTGTCCCTAGAGACACGAGATATAGTGTATGTGTCAGACAAAAAATCTTCTAGTATCTCTACCTATAGCGAACATATACATACAACTGATACATATATATTGCTTTTGGTAATAATTAATGTTATCAAATAAATAAACAAGAACAAAGCCTTTATTTCCTAGTTTGAAGAGAGAGGAAGTGGGTTTGTTGGTAGAACACTCACAAAATTTTAAGAAGAATTCAAAGAAGCTAAAAACGCAGCCGATGGATCTAGCGGAAAGATCAAAAGAGTTGTCGATGATTGTTAGTTGCGATTATTTCATCTGAGTTAGAGTTTTTTTTTAAAACCAAACTCATGCCAATTGCATGTCCTTGCATGTCCTTGCAGATGCCGCCGGTGGAATTGCCGTCCTACCAAACCGGATGTTCGAGGCTAGACATGAGCCTGTGGAAATCCGGGTAACGGCGAACAAGAGATTCTCTTGATGAAGATAAAGAACAAAAATTGAAGAAAATGATACTCATTAAAATAGAGAAAAGCTTGTGTTTCAGTTAATCTAAGCATACCAAATCGACTCGATGATTCGACTCGGTTATGTAAATGTGAGTGAACGAGTTCATTGGTGGCAATTTGGTGCTCCGATGAAGGAAGAGTTTTCGTCGAAGATGTTGTTCTCAATCATAAAACGTGTAAAATATTATATTGTCGATAATTATTTTTTTATCAGCTATTGTACATGTTAGATGTATATCATTGGATCCAACGATACATTATGACTTACAGAAGTTCATTCATTAGATATCTAACGATACAAATTATCAATAACTAAATTATTATCCACTATTATATATGTTAGCAGTCTAATAATGAATTTTGAAGACTAATTCATACTTCAAAGATGCATAAAATTAGAGGTAAACATATAGTAGTTCCACTTTTACACTTTTAACTTGTTACAAGTGTTTTTAACGCGATAAATATTTTATTATAGTGTTAAATATAAAGTTAGAGGTAAACATAATGTTTGTACAATACAATAACCATATATACAAGTATGTTGCATATTTGAATTACTCCTACAAACTTATCGTTAGCCCGCTAATATATGTAATAGCCATCTCTTCGAGTATGACATATCTGCCAAATTAAATGTTAGCAAACTAACATGTATAATAGCCGATAACAATTTTTTTATCAGTTTTATCTGATATGACATGTATAATTCTGATATATCTTGAATTTTGTTGGGAGCTCGTCGGATTTTTGCCGAACTTTCAACATGTGGTCGGAATTTTACTGGATTTCTTTTCATCATTTCTTCTCTCTTTAAATTACCCATGTTATTACCCTTCACCATCTACATGAACTCTCTTCCATCTCCATTGCCGTCCATGGGTTACTCTCTTCCATCATCACCTACTCCACCACCATCATAGTTTCATTTGCCATCACCACCACCACCATATCTTCCGCCGCAAAATGGATGGATGACTGATTTTCTTTTTGCCATTGATTTTTCTATAGGTTCGATGAAAGAGAAAGAATAAAAAGTAATGAAAGAGAAAGAGTTAGCTAGTATATTTTATATCACTTGTATATTGATGATATATTTTTTGTATTGTTTGTGTATATATATATGTATAGCTAGATTTTTTATATCTTGGCATTAAATGTTTCGTCTATGGTAAAGGGGCAAACCGTAAACTCACATCTTCTTTGCGATTGAAAAACTAATTTCAAGTTATTTTTGTATATGTACCTAATTTCTATATTATCTGTGTATATTGGACTAGTTAACTCTTTTATTTTGTACAAAGCTATGTTGCATAAAATTAGAAACGGTAGTATAAGAAAAATGTTCGAAAGCAGGAAATTTTTATTACAAAATTGTAGAAAACAGGTATGTATTGAAATCGTATAAATCTACTATATCAAAGTAGAATAGCTTTTTTCCCCTTTTGTCAGTTTTTCTTCTTTGTCGATCTAATTTTCCGATTTCTCTTGTCTCTTGATCTTCCGTCATCCTTTTCTATCAATTCGGAAACAAAAACTGTTACTTTAGATTCTACGAGCCACCCTTATCACCACAACGTTATCAAATTGAAACGAAACACTGCATTGTTTATGAAGAAAATAAACCTCTTCTTCCTATACTTTCTCCACTCGAGCTCAATCGTCTCTTACTCCTTTAAGATTTCTTCGACAAACGAATGCAGCTTTCTGCTACCTGCGTTACTGCAGACACCACGGTGCATATGGCCACATAGCGATGAACCCCCCTTACACCGTCGTTGGTCTCTCTCTATCGATGAGGAAACTGAGGATTCGGAGATGGTTTTAATCAAATTTTACTTTCTCATTCATTTGTTTCCCCTTAGTTTTGCTGAAAGACAATTATACGTGTTATTGATGATGGCAAAAGTCTCAAAATCAACACCTAAGTGATCGTAGTTTCCAGGTTGTAGAATCGATCCTTCCTTTAGAAAGGTCCACATTGACAACAATAATGAGGTATCTGATTTGATTTTCAGGTTTGAGTTATTAATCTTCATTTGCCCTCTCATGAACTTGATAGCTCCTAAGATTCGTACTCTGCTTGTTAATAGATGATGCTTCAATGATTTTAGATTTCTTCAGTGTTCATACTGATGAAACTGGTTTGCATAATTGCGCTTCTATGATTAGATTCATCATTCATGGTTAGGCAAGCAGATACATAGCCACAATTTTCGTTCTCCAGATCCATTTAAATATGAGGTAACTCACTCAATCCATGAACTCT